CTTGTCAGCTTGGGTGTCAAACATACTGGTAAGCAACGATTTTTACCTCAGGCTAACTGCCGTTGTGTAACAAAAACTGTATTTATTGGGTTACTTCCCTTGATTTATCCTGTTTTAAGTTACTTTCCTTTTAATAATGAAAATTTTTAAAAGAATATAAATAAAATATAAATTGAACAAATAATCATAAAAGGATGGTTATTAAATGATTTTAAATGTCTTAGGACAAATAAAAAAATAATAATTTGAAAATTATTTGAGGATTCTATACTTCCTTTTAAGGCTTAAATTGAAATTTATATAATAACTATGACCCTAACTTTACAGATAGAATGAATTTCTGAGTTTGCAAATAAAAACTATTTGCAAGAGAAAAAAAAAAAAATAAAAACTATTTGCAGACAGCTAAACAAATGTTCTGGTTGCAATGATTGTTTTATAGAATATGAAGTAAAAAATTTAAAAAACATACTGGAAAAAAACAATGTTAGATTGAACATGTAGAATATAAAGATGGAGAAACTTTATAAGTACAAGGGTACTATAAACATAATAAATTGGTTGGAAAGTTGAAGAAAACACACTTTAAAAGACCATTTTTACAGCACACGGTTACATTTACAACAAAATTAATGTCGATTAAAAACCTCCTGATCTGAGTCCTAATCTCCTGACCAAAATTTCCCAATCTCCTGATCTGAGTTTCACAGTCCATCACATGTATGAATAGGTAAATTGAAAATTTTTAAGTTCTTAGACCACTTTCATTCTGTGTCAGAAACCTATGCTGTGTCAAATATTTAATTACAATCCAAATTCAGTGCTGTATCAAGTTGAATGTTGTGTCCATACTTGCCCCAACTGTTCAGGGTTCGACCTCTGCGGTCGTATCAAGCTGCGCCCCAGCGGAGCATTTTATTTTATTAGCTCACCTGGCCTGAAGGGCCAAGTGAGCTTTTCTCATCACTTCAATGGCGTCCGTCGTCTGTCGTCTGTCGTCGTCGTCGTCGTTAGCTTTTTACAAAAATCTTCTCCTCTGAAACCACTGGGCCAAATTTAACCAAACTTGGCCACAATCATCATTAGGGTATCTAGTTTTTAAAATGTGTCCGATGACCCTGCCAACCAACCAAGATGGCTGCCATGGCTAAAAATAGAACATAGGGGTAAAATGTAGATTTTGGCTAATATCTCTGAAACCAAAGCATTTAGAGTAAATCTGACATAGGGTAAAACTGATTATCAGGTCAAGATCTATCTGCCCTGAAATTTTCAGACAAATCTGACAACCTGTTGTTGGGTTGCTGCCCCTGAATTGGTAATTTTAAGGAAATTTTGCAGTTTTTGGTTATTATCTTGAATATTATTATAGATAGAGATAAACTGTAAACAGCAATAATGTTCAGCAAAGTAAGATCTACAAATAAGTTGTATAAACAAAATTGTCAGTCGACCCCTTTAGGAGTTATTGCCCTTAATAGTCAATTTTTAACAATTTATTGTAAATTTTTGTAATCTTTTACAAAAATCTTCTTCTCTGAAACTACTGAGACAAATTTAACCATACTTGGCCATAATAATTATTAGGGTATCTAGTTTAAAAAATTTGTCCGATGACCCCGACAACCATCATGGCCGACTTGGTTAAAAATAGAACATAGGGGTAAAATGCAGTTTTTGGTTTATATCTCTGAAACTAAAGCATTTAGAGCAAATCTGACAGGTGGCAAAAATGTTCATCAGATTTAGATTTATCTGCCCTGAAATTTTCAGACAAATCCGACAACCCGTTGTTGGGTTGCTGCCCCTGAGTTAGTAATTTTTTACAAAAATTTTGCAGTTTTTATACGCCCGTCAATTTTTGACGGGACGTATTATGGAATACAAATATCCGGTGTCCGTCCGTCTGTCTGTCCGGCGTAAACATGTGGCACCGTAACTTGAGAATGACTTATCCAAATTTCATGAAACTTAACATAGTTGTTTCTTATGATGGTCAAACGATCTGTATACTTTTTGGTGAAAATAAGATTAAAACTTTTTGAGTTATCGGACTTAGTAACTAAAACAGGTGTGTGTTTTTTTTCACATGTCGCGCCGTATCTCAAAAACAATTTTTGATTATTGCTTAAAACTTTACACACTTCTTAGTTATATTAATCTTAAGATCTGTATACTTTTTGGTGATGATTCAAAATTTTATTTTAGAGATATTGAGTATTTTGTTAAAAAAGGGGGAAGGGTTTTCACATGTCGCGCCGTATCTCAAAAACAGTTTATGATTATTGCTTAAAACTTTACACACTTCTTAGTCATATTAACCTTAAGATCTGTATACTTTTTGGTGATGATTCAAAATTTTATTTTTGAGTTATTGAGTATTTTGTAAAAAAAGGGGGAGGGGTTTTTCACATGTCGCGCCATATCTCAAAAACGATTTATGATTATTGCTTAAAATTTTACACACTTCTTAGTTATATTAATCTAAAGATCTGTATACTTTTTGGTTTTGATTCAAAATTTTATTTTTGAGATATTGATTTTTTTTTTTTTTAAAAGGGGGGTTTTCACATGTCGCGCCGTATCTCAAAAACGATTTATGATTATTACTTAAAATTTTACACACTTCTTAGTTATATTAATCTAAAGATCTGTATACTTTTTGGTTTTGATTCAAAATTTTATTTTAGAGATATTGAGTTTTTTGTAAAAAAAAAAGGGGGTTTTCGCATGTCACGCCGTATGTCAGAAACTATTTATGCTTATTGCATAAAAATTCACACACAAGACAACGGGCGTATCATGCGCTCATGGCGCAGCTGTTTATTTGTTATTATCTTAGCTATCATTATAATATCTAATATCTAATACTATTAATTATGATTTTAACCTTATTTTACATGATTTCCAAAGCATCAGTAAATACAGGTGAGCGACACAGGCTCTTGAGAGCCTCTAGTTTTGTATTGTAATACTTCTTTGACTGATCATACATAGAGATAGTGCCTAAAGTGAATTGATCATGGAATAATTCCTCATATAATTAATTTTTCTGAGTACCTTTTCATTTTTCTGCTGCTTCAAATGTTGTTTAGAGACAGGAAAATCCTGAATATTGGGTTAATCAAGAGTACAAACCATAACAAAAGTACTAAATACCAAATAATGTAACATAATCTCTCCTACCATTTATATTAAATGTTCCTCAATGGAGAATTGTAAATGTTAATTTGAGTCTTACAAATCTGTCATTACTCTCTTGGTGTTACAATCATGTAAACTATAGTATGGATAATTAAATATAGATTTCCCTGTTGCATGTCTTTGCCAGAACATGTAGAATGTCAGAAGATGAACAATTCCTTCATGTTTTCATTATACTACACAATTTTATTTGCAGTTGTCACCAAGCTGTGACATTTGAATTGGCTTTACTATAGGAAAATTTTGCTTTTAATGATTTGTCAGCTGTATTTTCCTGTTGTATAATGTTATTTTGCTTTACAGGAATTCAAAGCAGTGAATTGAAATGACATGTCTTTACAAAAATTGAAGTATTCGTGTAAAGTTTAGAATTTAACTTATCAGGACTCTTTGAAAGTTCAAGTTCATTAAAGGATATGGAATCCTGTATTTTTATGTTGATATTTACATGAAACTTGAACTAAAAAAGGAAACCATATTGGTTTTTTATAAAATTCTTTTTCATTTAGCTTAAGATTTGATAACCAAAAACAGTGATCAATAAACAAAGAAAAAGACATTAGTTAATCACTGTTTCCTACTGGTAAAGATTTATTGAATATTTAGCAAGGGACATCAGCTTTGACTTAGTTTCATATATTTTCTCAAGTCTGTTATAATCCCATGATATTCATGTTATATTCTCTCATTTTATTTGCCTAAGTGAACTAATTTTTGGCATGATGATTGATTGTTCTTTTAAATGCATAGACATACTAATTTGTCAAAGAAAATACCATGTCATCTTAAACTTTGCATCCACCAAAGCCAGTCAAGTTTTAATAAAATAATTTTTTTTTAACTAATATTGAGGAATATTTTCCCCCACAATATATCATATTGCACAAGCTTGGAATGCAATATTAATACCAAGAGAATTAATTTCTCCCTCATTATGAGTTATAGGATACATATATTTGGTATATGCCATTGTAGAATCCTTGCAAGGTCTACATGTCTGTTAGACAGGGTTCATCTGACGTGACCTAATTTTCATGGTTCATTGGTCAATGTTAAGTTTGTGTGGTTAAGTCTGTTTTTTAAGCAATAGGTGTACTATATTTGTTGTAAAGAATGATTTTAAGATATACATGTCAGTCTGGCAGGGTTCATCCGACCAAACTCATTTTCATTGTTCATTGATCAATGTTTAAATGTTTTCATTGTTAAGTCTGTTTCTCAGTTACTTTAAGCAATAGGTCAACAATATTTGGTGTATTGAATGATTGTAAAGTGTACATGTCCATTTGGCAGAGTGTATATGACCTTGACTTCATTAACATGGATAATTGCTTGTTGCTTTTGTGATACTTGTAGTAAAACTTTATCAAAGATATAAATTTATTTTAATCAGTAAATCAGGGGAGACATTTCAGCGTTACCATCTTGTTTTTAATGGAAAACAATATCCGATTGTTATGAAAATGTAAGTCACAATTGATATCTTGTGATTTTTAGACTAGTCAGTCCTTAATATATTTTGACTCTTACAAATAAGAAACAGGAATCACCTGCCATTGTTTTCCTGCTGTACTTTTGATCTCCATGGAAAGCATTACTTATTTCATGGAAAACTGTCACATAGGTTTATGCTGTTGATACTTTAATGACTTCTTTCAAATAGACTTTTAGACATATCTCTGAACAGGAATTACACAGAGTATGTGTCAGGATTCAGACAGACTTAATGTAACAAAACCATAGAAAAGTAACATTTGTGTGTTACAGAGATATCAAAACATTTTGTTTCTTTTCAGTTGGCTCAAATTATGTTTAATGGTGAATCCAAGTGGAAAGATTCCAGTCAGAAGGTAGGTGTCACAAGCATTTTACATTTATTTCAATTCTATTGAAAAATGAGCTGGTTAATATAATCTGGTGCAGAAAGGTAACTTGTGATGTCACTATTACATCATAAACACATGAAAATTGACATATTTGACCTAAAAATATAAATTATAGCATAGTTTTTGGATAAAATAGATATATTTCAAGGCTTTACCCCAAAAGATATTTGACACTCATTAACATCTTTGTAAAATACATTTTGTCGCAAAAATATCTATTTAGGCAAAGCCTTGGCTCATTATCTAAATATTAATGACGAATCTCAATATGAGACAGTTTTTATGCCCCCGCCGCAGCGGAGGGGGCATTAAGTTTTACCCTTGTCCGTCCGTACGTCCCAAAGTTGGTTTCCGTTCTCTAACTTTAGTTTTTTTACTAAACTGCAAGTACTGATAGCTAACAGACTAATGTCTTATGAACATCTTGGGGATGTTATTTGGTAGATTTTTATGCCCCACCTATGATAGTAGGAAGGCAGCAAGCTATCAACACCAGAAAAGATATCTTGAGGGCAACATAGGGTTTTAGCAATAGACAAGGCATTTAAATTTGTCAATTTTACTTTGTAAAACATGTACATATACAGAACCTTAGTTTGTTTTGAATCCTGATATTTTTTTTAGTAAGTTTGCAATCACAACCCTTAAGGGCTGTCTTAATTTTCCTGACTTTATCAATTGCTTGGAGATAATAAAAAAAACAACTGTGCATTGAGTACAACATTCTAAAAATCATATAATTCTAAAAATCATATAATTATAAAAATCATATAATTCATGAATATTTCAAGAAATTTATCAATGAAATATACACTCAGGTATTCAAGTTACAAAATGATGTGTATAACCATAATTACATAAGTGGTTGATGGTGAATATAAGTGATGTCATTGTAAAAGTAATATTTAGAAATAGAGTTGTCTTCCTTCATCCATAATTGTAGTTGAACCAAAGACAATTGTAGACAAAGTAAGATATCTCCAATTCATAGGATTGGATTCCAATGCAATGTTCAATTTTAAGTTCCCATTGCAAAACAAATGCAATCTTTATCTTTTAATTCTCACAAGAATTTTGATTATAAAATTTTACTAGCAACAAATGTAAAACTGCCTTGGAATTTAATTTTTTTTTATAGAACATTTTATGTAACTATTATTTTGTGATTGGCTTGCTAAACTAATCCTTATATTTTGACTCTGCTCACATTGAATGATTTTAACACCATAAACCTAATAATGTATTCTCACTGTCACTTTTGATAAGTTACTTTTAAATATTTTTCAGCATTACAAGAACATTTGCCTCTGGAAGAACAGAAAAAATGATTATGCAATGTTTAAAAGATCTTGGTTTGCCAGGAGGCAAGGTAATTTTTTTTGTCTGGAATCTTTCTGTACTGGATATTCCTGGTAAATACCACTAAAGGATTTGTCATTTGTAGTAATACCTATTGTTGCTATAATATTGAAGATTTGATAAAAGATTGTATGATGGAATCAGATACAAAACATAATCAAGGAACATATTTTAAATGTATACTTCTTAAAAGCTTTTCTAGCTGGCATTTCCATTTTATATGGATTTGGCTGCCCTTTTGCTCCCAGACAATATTAGTGTGGCTACCCAAATATATGATCTGGAGCCTCAAATAGATGCATGTGTCATGCACACTGAATTGGGTGTCATACGTTTATATTGTAAATTGTCCTTTTAACAATGACTTTGATTAAGGTATTTAAAGAGAATGCATTTAGTTTTCTGTGTTCCAGTTTTTATACGCACGTTTACGGGACGTATTATGGTATACCGTTGACCGTCTGTCCGTCCGTCTGTCGTCAACATGTCGGACATTAATTCAAAAACGCTTTAACCAATATGCATGAAACTTTGGTGAATTGTTTATATCTATTGACGTGAGCTCCCTTTGGTTATTTTATAAATTTCAGATTTACCATTTCCAAGTTTTGGGGTTTTATTCATTAAAAAAGGGGGATTTTCCAGTTTTCGGACAATAACTCAAGAAAAATTTCACCAGTTTGCATGAAACATTTATGAATTGTTCATATCTATTGACGTGAGCTCCCTTTTGTTTTTTATAAATTTTGGATTTACCATTTCAGAGTTTTGGGGTTTTATTAAAAAAGGGGTGATTTTCCAGTTTTCAGACAATAACACAAAAACAATTTCACCAATTTGCAAGAAACTTTGGTGAATTGTTTATTTCTATTGACATGAGCTCCCTTTTGATTTTTATGAATTTCAGACTATATGTTTCTGATTTATGGGGTTTTATTCATTACAAAAAGGGGGATTTTCCAGTTTCCGGACAATAACTCCAAAATAACTTCAGCATTTTTTATGAAACTTTGGTAAATTGTTTATATCTATTTTTGTAAGCTCCCTTTTGATTTTTAAAAATTTTCAATTTTACGTTTCCGAGTTATAAGATTTTATTTGTTTATAGTCTGACAACAGATTTACTAAGTATTGCACAACAGCAAGAAATCTTTCATATAACCAATTTCAAGTTCTTTGACTACATTTATTCAGAAACCTATGATATATCAAATATTTAATTACAATCCAAATTCAGACCTGTATCAAGCTTGAATATTGTGTCCATTTTTGCCCCAACTGTTCAGAGTTGGACCTCTGCGGGCGTATCCAGCTGCGCTCAGCGAAGCAGTTTATTATTATTGTTTGATTGGTATATGATTTTTGTGGATTTATAATTTGCCTATCTTTATGGTACTATAGATGACAAATAATTTTTATTACCATGAATTCTTACTTTCTTTGTATCTTACTGTTCATTATATCAACAAAGCTAGCATAATATTGTTTAGTATTGACATTGCTGAAAAATAAAAGTTGGAAAATGGAACACATCTACTTACAAAATTAAAATGATTCCTAACAAGAATACTGAATAGGATATTAAAAAAAAAATGCTTTAGCAATCGATAATAATATGTATAAAATTACATCAAGTTATATATCAAAGGATGCCACTGGGTAAGTGAGTATTATTAAACCAAGGAATAAAGATAAAATAATATTAATTAAATTAAACTTTTGATTTTGTTTTCAGTGTGATGAAATAGAACCTGCTGATTTCACTTTTGAAAAATTTTATGAATTTTATCACAAGATTTGCCCTAGGACAGACATTGAAGATTTATTTAAAGAACTGTAAGTATTACGTTGATAATTGTTAGTAATGAGGCATATAGAGTTCAACCAAAGAAGTATTTGTATTAACCAATACTAAATATTCTAAACTACAAGGAATATATGACCTATTCATTAAAAAAATGTCATTCTAGTTACTTTGCTTAACTTCAGTTACAACTATAGTAAGTTATCATGTCATGACAAAAGACTCCTCAAATCAAAAATTATCCTTTGACCCAAAATGGTTAGAATTCGCTCATTGATTAGCAAAAACATTTGCTATTTTTATGCCCCTGCCGTAGCAGTGGGGGCATTAAGTTTTACCCTTGTCCGTCTGTACGCCCCAAAATTGGTTTCCATTCTCTAATTTTAGTTTGCCTCAAACAAATGTTATGAAACTTATGCACAATGCTTTTTACCACAAAACACAGATCATTGAGTTTTGGTGCCTTAACTGTTACCGTTCTAGAGTTATGCCCCTTTACTAATTGAAAAATTGCTGAATTTTTCATTTCCCTTCTCTAACTTAAGTTTGCCCAAACAAATGTTATGAAGCTTATACACAATGCTTAATACCACAAAACTCAGAGATTAAGTACAAATTTGGGTAGCATCACTTTTGCAGTTCTTGAGTTATGTCCCTTTATGACGTTATATGCAAGCGGTGGCATCACATTCCCGATTTATTTTATATCAAATGTATGCAGTTTCATTGTCTTGCCTTTGATAAAAATATCAGCAGACAAGCTAGAGGTATTGTATTCTGATTATTTGGATTTTGGAAAGATCGGTTATTGATTTGGGGATGTACGACGGTGGGCGGGCCGCTGCCACACAGTGTCCGTTCATTAACATGAAAATCCTTTGACGAAATCTTTTCAAATTTAGATATATTGTTTCCTGTGACTAAATGAAGGTCAAATTCAATTTTCATGATTTTAGCTGTTCTCGTTGTTGAATTTTAGACCTTTCAGTAGCAAAATGTATTTTTATTGTATGAATTCGAGTTATTTCCCTTTGAACAGAAAGTAATAGTTAATTTCTTTGTCATTTGGTCTCTTGTTAGATTTTTTTTTAATTTTGTGGCCTGTCTGAGGTAGTATGAAGTTCAAGATGAAAATGTGGCACAATTAGCAGAAAATATTAAGAAAGCAAATAGTAATTTTAGAAACCTGCACACCTTAAAACTGATAATTTTGAAATAGCTAATAGGTGATAAGCTAATATTAATGCTTTTGAAAAATAAATGTTTTAAATTAGATTTTTGTATGGAGAATTATTTGCAATATGATTTTGATACCAATATACTTAACAAATTACAAAATGGAAGTTTAAGATTAAATTTAGAATCAGGTCGCTATGACAATATTCCTAGAAATAATCATTTTGTATATGTTGTGAAATGAACAATATTGAAGATGAATACCATTTTGTGGTGATTTGTCCTGTATATAGAACTCTTAGATGTAACTTTTTGCTAAAATATTGTTGTTCATGGCCAAATACACAAAAGCCAAATTTTTTTGTTATTGTTACAAGCTGGGTTAAAAAGCTTAACAAAGAAACTGTAATTATTTAATGGCGTTATGGAAATTAAGATCACAAATTATCTCAGTTTAATGATATGTTGTACAAATGTATGTATGTGTAAGTTATCTCTGCATTATTTAATTGTTCTCTGTATTCTGTCATATTTGTCATATATGTATATACCTTGTTATTTTGCTAAAGCAATGTTGTTGCTAATGCAATAAAGATTCATTCATTCATTCAATGATGACAGGTTCTTTTGATATAAATATTAAATCAGTATTTTTTTATATTATAAATGTTTTGTAGAAATGGTGGAACAAACAGAACCTATTTGACCATTCCTCAGCTTGTACCTTTCTTTAATGATGTAAGTTTAAAAACCATTTAAAACCATTTCAGTTTGAATATACATAATATTTTCCTGACTTCTAAATACTAAATCTTCTAAATATTCCATTTTTGTACAACCGCAAAAAAATTTTGTGGTCGTATATTGGTATGACGTCGTCGTCGTCATCGTCCTCGTCCGAAGACACATTGGTTTTCGCACTCTAACTTTAGTTTAAGTGAATGGATCTCTATGAAATTTTACCATAAGGTTCAATACCACAGAAGAAAGGTTGGGATTGATTTTGGGGGTTATGGTACCAACAGTAAAGGAATTAGGGGCCAAAAATAAGCATTTTTGTAACTTCCAGACATAACTTGTGTGTTAGTGTATGGATCTCTCTGACATTGTACCACAAGGTTCCATATCACAAAGGGAATGCTGGGATTGATTTTGGGGGTAATTGCCTCAAAATTGTAGGAATTAGGGGCAAAAAAAAGGGGCAAAAAACAAGCATTTTTCTAGTTTCATGACAATTACTTGTGTGTAAGTCTATGGATCTTTCTGAAATTGTACTACAAGGTTCCATATCACAAAGGGAAAGCTGGAATTGAGTTTGGGGGTAATTGCCCAAAATGTTTAGGAATAAGGGGCCAAAAATAAGCATTTTTCTAGTTTCCAGACAATAACTTGTGTGTTCAAGTGTATGGATCTCTCTGAAATTGTACTGCAAGGTTCCATATCACAAAGGGAATGCTTGGATTGATTTTGGGGGTAATTACCTCAAAATTTTAGGAATTAGGGGGCAAAAAAGGGGCAAAAAACAAGCATTTTTCTAGTTTCATGACAATAACTTGTGTGTAAGTCTATGGATCTTTCTGAAATTGTACTACAAGGTTCCATATCACAAAGGGAAAGCTGGAATTGAGTTTGGGGATAATTGACCAAAATGTTTAGGAACTTGGGCCAAAAAGGTCCAAAAATAAGCATTTTTCTAGTTTCCAGACAATAACTTGTGTTCAAGTGTATGGATCTCTCTGAAATTGTACTTCAAGGTACCATACCACAAAGGGAAGGCTGGGATTGAAATTGGGGATAATTGCCTCAAAATTTTAGGAATCAGGGACCAAAAAGGGGCAAAAAACAAGCATTTTTCTAGTTTCAGGACAATAACTTGTGTGTAAGTGTATGGATCTTTATGAAATTGTACTACAAGGTTCCATATCACAAAGGGAAAGCTGGGTTTGAGTTTGGGGGTAATTGCCCTAAATGTTTAGGAATTTGGGGCAAAAAAGGGGCCAAAAACAAGCATTTTTCTAGTTTCCAGACAATAACTTGTGTTCAAGTGTATGGATCTCTCTGAAATTGTACTGCAAGATACCATACCACAATGGGAAGGCTGGGATTGAGTTTGGGGGTGATGAATCATAAGGGGGTTAAAAAAATTGGGGGGGGGGGGATTTTTTTTCCTTTTTATTTCTTTAAAATTTTCCATTTTAAATTGGTTATTTCTGATTTATATATAAAAGCAAATAATAATGATATGGTTTGAATAGGTAAATTAAATTTTTTTAAGTTCTTAGACCACATTAATTCTGTCAGAAACCTATGCTGTGTCAAATATTTAATCACAATCCAAATTCAGTGCTGTATCAAGCTTGAATGTTGTGTCCATACTTGCCCCAACTGTTCAGGGTTCGACCTCTGCGGTCGTATCAAGCTGCGCCCAGCGGAGCATTTTATTTTAGAAAGATTTCAATATGAAGAATAAAGGGTGTATCTTGCACTCTTGAAGCAGCTGTTTGTTTTTTCAAGCAATTGCTTTAATGCTATGGCGTATAGCCTTTTTTGTGACCCAGATCAAGCCAAAGTTTTTGAGCAGATTCCTTGTCTGTTATTCTAAAAATCCTATGTATGTTTTCTAATGACATACATTAACAAAAACAGTTGAAAAACAACAGTGGGTTTGTGAAGTTTCAAAGTCTCAACAAATGTTCTTGTAGATGTATTTTTGTATTTAAGGTGACAACCGTTTGACTATCAAAGAATGTAGAAGTCCGAGTGAAAAGTGCATTTTTCATATCTGCGATTTTGTTTTTGAGATGCTTCAACAAAATATCGAATTATGTCAGTTGTTGATTTAATATTGAAAATTTGACTGAATCATCCCTTATACAGCTTTATGTTGTTTTATTTGTCTTTATTTTTGAAAGAGACTAATTTGCTCTTGTTCATTCATAAAATTATCGTAAAATCACTACACACGTTATAGTAATGTAATCTAATCTCAGAGTTTTTGTTTTAAAAGTAGCACGATTTACACATTCTGATTACACTTACCATGTTTTAAATACTTTCATGAAATTAGGAACCCTGTTATTTATTAAGGGCTTCCTTAATTGCTGATTGATACTGATTGACTCCACTCTGTATACAAATTATATAATAATCAACTGATCAAGGTTACTTCTGGAGATTGTGTCAAATGCCATAATGATGAAAATTAGTGCGGATCAATAATTTTTAAAAGAGGTATGCCCCTTGGAAACATTAATTATATGGAAAATTGAATCGTTAGCGCTCTCATGTGTACAATTCTTGCCAGATTTTTATGGAATTTACATCATAGGTTTATATTAGCAATGTCTTGGATGAGTTGGTAAATCAGTGCCAATTATTATTTTTAAAAGAGTTATGCCCTTGTAAATTTTGATTATATGGAAAATTGCATTGTTAGCGCTCTCATGTGTACAATTCTTGCCAGAATTTTATGAAACATATATCATAGGTTTATATCAGCAATGTCTTTGACACTTTTGAAAATAAGTGCTGATCAAATAAACGAGTTATGCCCCTTGGAAAAATTAATTATAACAGAAATCGCATTGCATTTGCTCTGAAGCCTTCATTTCTCAAAGATATTTATATATTGTTTTAAAGGACAAAAAAAAAAGTACTTTTTTTAGTTATTGCCCTTGGAAAGATAAAATATGTGCAACACGGGGGACATTGGAACTCTGATAACTGATTTCTTTATTTAAAATCGGTTGTGTTATATAATTTACACAACAATGTCAATAGTACTGACTACTGAAAGGGGTAAAGCCTGAGCCAGTTCACAGGTAACAGTTTACGTGCATTTGATGAAAATTTCAGAAGCCGGTCCAATCTTTAAATCTTTAATCGGTATGTATGAATGAATGATTCTTATTTTAAAAAAAACTAAAGTTTGGTAGAATACTCACGTCACAAAAGTTGAAATCATCAACTGAATGGTCAAATTTAAACCAATTATGATAATTAAAATTAGAATAAAATCAGTAAAGATTATGATACCAGGTGGATTGTGAGGTAAATAATTGCCCAGTAATAAACACCCTACAAGGGGCTAATCTGTTATGATTTTTTCAGGATTTATACGTTTCTGCAAATATATTTGCCTCCATCAGAAGCTGGGTAAATGTGTTGTCCCTATGGAAAATGTTAGTCATTGTAAATAGGACTTTCTGCTGGATAAGTCTTTTATTGGTACAAGGTTTAAACATCCTTACTTCTCACTAGATAGACTCATGTCATGTTTAATTAGGGCCCCTCCTAGTGGTTGGTTGCCCTATAGTGATCAGTCTGTCTGTCTGTCCCTCCGTCCATAACAAATTGTGTCCCTTCTGTATCTAGAGAACCGTTATAATTTCATACTTTATACTTGACATGTATAATAACCAACACCAGAGGGTGTGTCATAATGTTTGTACAACTTCCTAGGTCAAAGTTCAAGGTCAAAAACTTTGGTTTCAGTTGACAACCCCATGTCCTATGTAAATAGTAACTTGTTATTTACAGCGGGGCCCACAGAGATGGCTCCCATCTCAATGATGTCTAGTTCTTTTACATGTGGATGAAAGATAAAAGTCACAATAACATTAACTAGGCAGCAATTGCTTTAACAGCCTTTCAGGCTTTGATTATATGTTGTAGTTATTATTTTGGCTAATTATTGTCAATTATGGTTCTGATACAAATACAGTAGTCAATGAAAGATTTTTATAGAATATTATTTTGCTTAAATACTTCTCACTGTCTGTATTTTACAACTCAGATCAAAATAAACATATACAAAGTCAAATATTTAAATTGTTATGTGTTTAGTCATTTTGGGGTAATATGGGACAGTACTTTAAAATCCTATATTAATCAAATACTTCAAATACTTGTTTGGAATGTGAGTATCGTGTGCTCATGGCACAGAAATATTTTCTTTCTAATACAAATGTTTGTAATTCATCAGCAAATTAAATGATTTTAGCTGACATAAAGTATATTTAAAATATTTATTCCAGAGACAAAGAGATCCAAGATTAAATGAAATTCTTTTTCCTTACTACAACAGAAAACGGGTTTTGCAAATAATTAATACATATGAAAAGGATCTGGACTATGTAAAACAAGGTAAGATTAATGCAACTTTTACATGAATAAGTGAATATTTTGCCATTTAACCTTAGCTATAGGTTGCACTTTGTAAAGACAGCTGTTTCACAAACTACGCCTCTCTTTGGGAGATATATAATATTCATAGATATTTTGTTTTGTTTACGTACTGGTTCCCAGATATGATCTCTATGTTTCATCTAATAGAGACATAACTTGGGCATGTTACCAGTATAAATACACATGGATAGCAGTCAAATTGAATTCTGAGGAAGACCCAAAGTGAAGGGAGGGGTAGTACAGAATTTTAGTATAAGTTTAAACTCTTAGAAGTTCGGGGCATATAAATGTTGAAAATATGCCGCACAGCCCTATGTTTTGACCTTTGAAAAAAGGGCATATGACCTTTCCATTCTAAGATATAATTTTTTTTACGAAACTTCATAGTAAAAGTGGCACAGTTTTAGCCGTAAAAGGAGTTCCTATGGGAAATTGCATTGTCAATATTTACAGAAGTGCAGCCTTCAAGTGGAAATTGATGATTGATAATCATAATTTACCAAAATTTGTACTAAATTTCTAAAAAAAATATGTACCCTGTATTCATAATATTGACCAAATCATTGAAAAATCATCTTAACAGCTTTTGATTAACATTCATAAAACGCATATGAAAAACTTAATGAAGAAAAAATTTATTTATGTTGGTATATAGGAAAGGAACCGTTCTGGTGATAAAGAAAAAGAAAAAGGTCAATATTTACCAAGAAAAATGTATCAATATCATGCTGAACCAATTTTTTTTTAAACAATATGTCCTTATTGCATATTAGAAAAAAAAAATCTAGAAAAATTATATGTACTGAAAAAAGTTTATAGTTCTGTTTAGTCTTTATTTTTCAAAATTGTAAAAATCCTAAGCATGACATATTTTCTAAAATATCTACATTCAAACACCTTGTTCTTGCACAGCTCTGCTTCTTTCTCACAAATGGCCAAATTCATGACCCTGAACTATAAATATGTGTAGTAAACTTAAAAGATCTTAATTGTAATGTTTTCATTCATTTTATTTCAGAATGGTTAAGTCTGGATGGTTTTTGTCGATATTTAATGTCCGATGAAAATGCTCCTGTATTCCTTGATAGATTAGACATTTATATGGATATGGATCAGCCATTATCACATTATTATATAAACTCATCACATAATACATATTTAAGTGGACGTCAGTTTGGTGGCAGGTCTTCTGTAGAAATGTATAGGCAGACATTATTGGCTGGTTGCAGGTGAGAAAACATCATTGTTTCTGTTAGTGTGGAGAAACATATGTAGGGTAGATATATAAAGATAAGATTGATTGATTGTTGGTTGCTTAAAGTCCAGTGGCAAATATTTCATGCATGTTCAGGACGACAATATGTGGTATGATTGCCAATGAGTTGACTTTCCACCAGCGACCAAATCATTTGGATTTAAGCAACTATAGATGATACAATACATCTACTGAATATAGTATCTTGAAGGCTAAGTAATAATGAGATATAGTCTTAACTGTCTTGTAATTATGTAACAAAAACAAGCCAATTTGACCTTACTATGATATAAAATATACGGTTTTTAAGTTTAACTTGTGCAACTATCTATTTAAATGCAAGCTTCTAAGCAAGAGATAAAAACTGCATATTTAACTAATGCTATCTGCATATTCACAGCCCTTTTATTAATATGCATCACCCCTCTAAAGTACTGATGAATACCACCTGAATTAAGGAATTTCTACATAAAGTATTCATAGCATATAAAAAAGTACTAAAAAATAACAGTCCACGTTAGAGATAAGAAACTCCTTATATCATGCATTTTCATAACAGTATCTCTTATTGTTTTTATACGACCGCAAAAATTAAAAATTTTTTGGTCGTATATTGGTATGACGTTGGCGTCGTCTTCGTCCGAAGACACATTGGTTTTCGCACTCTAACTTTAGTTTAAGTGAATGGATCTCTATGAAATTTTACCACAAGGTTCAATACCACAAAAGGAAGGTTGGGATTGATTTGGGGGGTTATGGTACCAACAGTAAAGGAATTAGGGGCCAAAAAGGGGCCAAAAATAAGCATTTTTGTAACTTCCAGACATAACTTGTGAGTTAGTGTATGGATATCTCTGACATTGTACCACAAGGTTCCATATCACAAAAGGAATGCTGGGATTGATTTTGGGGGTAATTGTCTCAAAATTTTAGGAATTAGGGGCCAAAAAAGGGGCAAAAAACAAGCATTTTTCTAGTTTTATGACAATAACTTGTGTGTAAGTGTTTGGATATTTCTGAAATTGTACTACAAGGTTCCATATCACAAAGGGAAAGCTGGAATTGAGTTTGGGGGTAATTGCCCGAAACGTTTAGGAATTGGGGGCCAAAAAGGGGCCAAAAATAAGCATTATTCTAGTTTCCAGACAATAACTTTTGTTCAAGTGTATGGATCTCTCTGAAATTGTACTGCAAGGTACCATACCACAAAGGGAAGGCTGGGATTGAGTTTGGGGGTGATGAATCATAAGGGGGTTCAAAAAATTTTGGGGGGGGATTTTTTTTTTTTTCTTTTTTTTTTTTTTTCTTTTAAAATTTTCCATTTTAAGTTGGTTATTACTGATTTATATTTAAAAGCAAATAATAATGATATGGTAGGAGATACACACCAAACAGGATGTGTAAGTTATTATATAATAAGTATTGTGCAATAGCAAGAAATTTTCAATTGCACAGTATTGCACAATAGCAAGAAATCTTCAATTGCACAGTATTGCGCAATAGCAAGAAATCTTCAATTGCACAGTATTGCGCAATAGCAAGAAATATCCAAAGCACAATATTGCGCAATAGCCAGAAATTGTCAATAGTACAGTATTGCGCAATAGCAAGAAATATTCAATTGCACAGTATTGTGCAAAAGAAGATACTTCGTATAAATTGTATATAACTTGATCAATTTCAATGGGGTTTTATTCTTGAATTCTTGGGGTTCTTTAATATGCTGAATCTAACCGTGTATTAAGTTTTTGGATTTTGGGCCCCGTTTTTAAATTGGTCCACATTGAGGTCCAAAGGGTCCAAAATTTAACTTTGTTTGATTTCGTCAAAAATTGAATTATTGGGGTTCTTTGATATGCCGAATCTAACCGTGTATTTAGATTCTTAATTTTTGGTTCCGTTTTCAAATTGGTCTACATTAAGGTCCAAAGGGTCCAAAATTAAACTTAGTTTGATTTTAACAAAAATTGAATTTTTAGGGTTCTTTGATATGCTGAATCTAAACATGTATTTAGTATTTTGATTATGGGCCCAGTTTTCAAGTTGGTCCAAATCGGGGTCCAAAATTAAACTTTGTTTGATTTCAACAAAAATTGAATATATGGGGTTCTTTGATATGCTGAATCTAACCATGTATTTAGATTTTTGATTTTTGGGCCCCGTTATCATTTGTCCACATTGAGGTCAAAAGGGTCCAAAATTAAACTTTGTTTGATTTCATCAAAAATTGAATTCTTGGGGTTCTTTGATATGCTGAATCTAACCATGTATTTAGATTTTGGATATTGGACCATAATAGGTGAATGTCCAATTTAAAATTTTTAAGTTCTTAGACCACATTCATTCTGTGTCAGAAACCTATGCTGTGTCAAATATTTAATCACAATCCAAATTCAGAGCTGTATCAAGCTTGAATGTTGTGTCCATACTTGCCCCAACTGTTCAGGGTTCGACCTCTGCGGTCGTATCAAGCTGCGCCCTGCGGAGCATTTTATTTGTAAATATGCTAGTAAAGATACATCTGGTTACCAAATTATCAACATTCCACCAATCACCAGAACAGATAAGAGAATGATTACATTTATAATTATTACATGGGTTCATGCTGATAATTCATTTCTTGGCTGGCAAAAGACGGTGTATAAAGATTACAATTTACTGGTGAAGACTCTAGATATGCTTTTTTCCGTTTGAGATGATATCTCCTTGACGTTTATCCCAAAACTTTGTTGGTATTTAAGTAGTAATATGATGTATATTTTAGATGTGTAGAATTAGACTGTTGGGATGGAACCAGAGAAGACCAGGAACCTATCATTACTCATGGAAAAGCTATGTGTACAGATATACTGTTTAAGGTATAGCCACTATAATCATGCTTTTCACTTATGGTATACATGGCTCAAGTTGGCCGCTATTGAAAAATCTGCAGTCAACATTTAGGTATAGCCTATGGTTAAAAATTTAAAACTTGAAACACTTTGTCAAATAAACCTTCATGAAAATTTTACACAACTTGAATAGAAGCTTCTTCATAATCAAGAGAAAGTACCCAGAGAAAAGTTTTTATATTTTCTTCTAAATTTTTCTGTATTAATACTGAAAACTGTACTTGTATTATTGTAAGTCAACATTACACTTTAACATTGCCAGCAGCAGTCCCAGGCAAGACATAGGGTATGTCATTTTTGCCATGACATTAATGCTCCAAAACCCTTCTGACATGAAATTTTGCTGTCAGAAATTTATTTCATTTTAATTTTATACATTTTTTCAAGCTTTGGTGTATTATTATTTCTTTTTGTAATACATTTGAATAGGAATAACTGTACTGTTTTTGAAGAGTTGCCGGTTATACTGCATTTTACGACTGACAAATTTCCAATTGACGTCTGCAACTCTTCAACTATAGTACTGTTGTTATTATTTTTGCATCAATGCACTTTGTATAATACAGGTTTTTGTCGAGCTTGCTACTTTTGTTGCAGAAAGCTCGACATAGGGATAGTGATCCGGCGGCGGCGTTAGCTAACTTCTTAAAAGCTTTATATTTTAGAAGGTGGAAGATCTGGATGCTTCATACTTTGTATATGGATGCCTCATGTTACGAAGTTTCTGTCAGTCACATGTCCAATGTCCTTGACCTCATTTTCATGGTTCAGCAACTACTTGAAAAAAAAAAAGTTAATGTTAAATTCTCTCTTATTATAAGTAATAGGATAACTATATTTGGTATGTGCCTACCTTGCAAGGTCCTCATGCTCGTCAAACAGTTTTCACTTGACCTCAACCTCATTTCATGGATCAGTGAATAAGGTTAAGTTTTGGTGGTCAAGTCCATATCTCAGATACTATAAGCAATAGGTCTAGTATATTCGGTGTATGGAAGGACTGTAAGGTGTACATGTCCAACTGGCAGGTGTCGTCTGACCTTGACCTCATTTTCATGGTTCAGTGGTTATAGTTAAGTTTTTGTGTTTTGGTCTGTTTTTCTTATACTGTATGCAATAGGTCTACTATATTTGGTGTATGGAATGATTTTAAAGTGTACATGTCTAGCTGGCAGGTGTCATCTGACCTTGACCTCATTTTCATGGTTCAGTGGTCAAAGTTAAGTTTTTGAGTTTTGGTCTTTTTATACGCCCGTTTACGGGACGTATTATGGTATACCTCTGTCCGTCCATCTGTCCGTCCGTCTGTCAGTCGTCAACATGTCGGACATTAACTCAAAAATGCTTTAACCAATTTGCATAAAACTTTGGTGAATTGTTTATATCTATTGACGTGAGCTCCCTTTCATTTTTTATAAAATTTAGATTATTTGTTTCCGAGTTATGGGGTTTTATTCATTAAAAAAAGGGGGATTTTCCAGTTTTCAGACAAAAAGTCAAGAATGCTTTCACCAACTTGCAAGAAATTGTGGTGAATTGTTTATATTTATTGACATGAGCTCCCTTTCGATTTTTATAAATTTTAGATTTTACGTTTCCGAGTTACAGGGTTTTTATTTATAAAAAAATGGAGGGATTTTCCAGTTTTTGGACAAAAACTCAAAAATGCTTTCAGCAATTCTTATGAAACTTTGGTGAATTGTTTGTATGTATTGGTGTAAGCTCCCTTTAGAATTTTATAAATTTTACATTTTACATTTCTGAGTTATGGGGTTTTATTCATTAAAATAAGGGGTGATTTTCCAGTTTTAGGACAATAACTCAAAAATGCTGTCACCAATTCTCATGAAACTTTGGTGAATTGTTTATATCTATTGATGTAAGCTCCCTTTTTATTTTCATAAATTTCTAATATGACATTGAGAATTAATTGAACTTTATTTGTTTATAGTCTGACAACAGATTTACTAAGTATTGCACAACAGCAAGAAATCTTTAATTGAATATAAATTCAATTCATATAACCAATTTCAAGATCTTTGACTACATTTATTCGGAAACCTATAATATGTCAAATATTTAATTATAATCCAAATTCAGACCTGAATCAAGCTTGAATATTGTGTCCATTTTTGCCCCAACTATTCAGGGTTGGACCTCTGCGGGCATATCTAGCTGCGCTCAGTGAAGCATTTTATTTTCTTATACTATATGCAATAGTTCAACTATATTTGGTGTATGGAAATATTTTATGATCTATTTGTCAGTCACACAGGTTTTTTTTTTACCTTGACCTCATTTTCAAGGTTCATTGCTCAGTGTTAAGTTTTTGTGTTTTGGTCTGTTTTTCTTAAACTATAAGCAATAGGTCAACTATATTTGTTGTATGGAAGAACTGTTAGCTGTACATGCCTGCCTAGCATGGTTCATCTGACCTTGACCTCATTTTCATGGTTCATTGGTCAATGTTTAGTTTAGTTGGTTAATGTTAAGTTTATGTGACAGTTGTAATAAAGCTTTATATATAGGACTATCAACATAATATCAATGATTAGTAAAGAAGGCGAGACATTTCAGCGTGTGCACTCTTGTGCATCCATGCACTTTGTATAACTAAGGTTATGTTTGTTTATTTTACAACAGTTCCAAATTCTTAAAAGAAAGTAAATACAAATTTCCCTCATAAATTAAGAAATATTTCCCCCCCCCCCCCCCCCCCCCTGTCAATTTTACCAGATGGTCAGTCTCCATTAGTAGATTAAAAAATATACATTGACCAAATTACATGTTCATTTCTATTGACAGAGTCTTGTTAAATTGACTTGGATTAACAGTATTGTTTATCTATATGAAGGAAAGGAGGTATGGGATATACATCAATGAGATGCAAACCATCAGCAACATTAAAAAAAGTAAAGAAGTCAACTTCAACATACAATGTTCAACAGTAGACAAGTGTCTATAAAATATGTCATGATTGAATTTATCCTAAGTCTAGAAAAATTTGTAAATATATTTGACAGACAGCTTTCTAAGATTGCCATTAAAACCAAATTCTTGAAGGACAAATGACTTTTAAATACAACTGTAAGGTTCCTGATTTCAAACCTTTTTAAACAAGTGTAGATATGAACTTTAAGTAATTATACGACTGCAAAATTTTTTTTCGTATATTGGTATGACGTTGGCGTCGTCCTCGTCCGAAGACACGTTGGTTTTCACACTCTAACTTTAGTTTAAGTGAATGGATCTCTATGACATTTTACCATAAGGTTCAATACCACAAAAGGAAGGCAGGGATTGATTTTGGGGGTTATGGTACCAACAGTTAAGGAATTAGGGGCCAAAAATAAGCATTTTTTTGTAACTTCCAGACTTTAGTGTATGGATCTCTCTGACATTGTACCACAAGGTTCCATAACACAAAGGGAAGGCTGGGATTGATTTTGGGGGTAATTGCCTCAAAATTTTAGGAATTAGGGGCCAAAAAGGGACAAAAAACAAGCATTTTTTCTAGTTTCAGGACAATAACTTCTGTGTAAGTGTATGGATCTTTATGAAATTGTACTACAAGGTTCCATATCACAAAGGGAAAGCTGGAATTGAGTTTGGTAGTAATTGCCCAAAATGTTTAGGAATAAGGGGCTAAAAATAATGATTTTTCTAGTTTCCAGACAATAACGTGTGTTCAAGTGTATGGATCTCTCTGAAATTGTACTGCAAGGTACCATACCACAAAGGGAAGGCTGTGATTGATTTTGGGGGTAATTGCCTTAAAATTTTAGGAATAAGGGGCAAAAAAGGGGCAAAAAACAAGCATTTTTCTAGTTTCAGGACAATAACTTGTGTGTAAGTGTATGGATCTTTATGAAATTGTACTACAAGGTTCCATATTACAAAGGGAAAGATGGGTTTGAGTTTGGGGGTAATTGCCCTAAATGTTAAGGAATTTGGGGCAAAAAAGGGGCAAAAAAACAAGCATTTTTCTAGTTTCCAGACAATAACTTGTGTTCAAATGTATGGATCTCTCTGAAATTGTACTGCAAGGTACCATACCACAAAGGGAAGGCTGGGATTGAGTTTGGGGGGTGATGAATCATAAGGGGGTTCAAAAAATTGGGGGGGGGGATTTTTTTTTCTTTAAAATTTTCCATTTTAAATTGGTTATTTCTAATTTATATATAAAAGCAAATAATAATGATATGGTTTGAATAGGTAAATTAAAATTTTTTAAGTTCTTAGACCACATTCATTCTGTGTCAGAAACCTATGCTGTGTCAAATATTTAATCACAATCCAAATTCAGTGCTGTATCAAGCTTGAATGTTGTGTCCATACTTGCCCCAACTGTTCAGGGTTGGACCTCTGCGGGCGTATCCAGCTGCGCCCAGCGGATCATTTTATTTTTATTTACAATTATTGGACTAAGATTTATTTCTAAATGGCAAATATATAAAATTGCTAATAAAAGTTACAAAGGTCTTTCAAATGTTCCTTTCAAATTCATGACGTCAAATTTTAACATAGTTTTGGAAATGCCATCTTGTCCACAAAAGGGCTGGACAACATTACATAGGAAAAATAAGAAAATACATTTTCATACACGAAAAAATTGAAATAAATATTTGAAGTGGTAATAATGTAATTTCATTTTCAGGATGTTATACAAGCAATCAAAGAAACAGCTTTTGTTACATCACAGATGCCTGTTATATTATCTTTTGAAAATCACTGCAGGTATAGTATCATTTATAGTTACATTAAGATGGAAATGGAATTAAATATATGTTACATTATGGAAAAGGAAATAATGTTTGTATTGTATTAATAGATTAATAATGAATTGTTAGTTCTTGACTAGTTATTACTACCAAAAAAACAATTCCTTGTAATAAATAATAAAATTTATCAAAAAACATATGAACTTTGACAAATCAAGTGTCTATGATTTAAACATAACATGTTATATATTTATAGACATTTACTTTGTACTTTCATTTCAGTAAAGCTCAGCAATACAAAATGGCCAAATATTGTGAAGATATTTTAGGCGACCTTTTGTTGAAAAGACCTCTAGAATCAATACCAGTAAGTGGAAATATTTTAGTCTACTTCTTTTTTTTATAGTCCAGTATAAGTACCAATGTTAATCTGGGTTAGAGATATGATTAGTGAATTTTTTACTGGCAGAACATATATAAGTATAATGATACAGTACATTCCGGTTATTTGCATAGCCTATTTGTCAGACAAATTATGCAATAAAGCGGAGTATGCTTATATCCGAAATGCCAAATTACGGAGTCAAATAACATCGATAGAACAGATCAGTAAAGGAAATCCCCGAAGAAAGATGAACGTCTATAATCCAATTACAACATATTGAATGTTGATTTATTATAATAAAAGTTATATTATATGTCTATTGTCATTCACGTTATTTTATTTTGTATTATTTCAATAAAGATTATAAACACATTTTGTTTTAGTTTATTTGCGTACCGACGTTTCCTTTACCAGTTTACCTGGGATACTAAAATAAATTCGTTCTAAAAATAGATTTGTTTCTATGACCCGTATGTACAATGTACATTGTTACGCTTTGATTAAAATAAACTGTTTAACAAAACTACACAGTTTATAATCATTTTAACAATAGATGTGTACTAAACTGCCTTTGATGTACATTATTTACAGCTTGCAGAGTGAAGTAACACTGTTTATTTGACTTCGTTAGTTTCGTATATGCAAAGCGGTAAAGGGGCCCTATACGGGTTATTTGCTGGACACGAGTATTGAAAGTGAGAAAATATAATAATTAGAAATAAATGCTTTTTTCAAAATATATTAAAATTAAATGATTGATGTATAAAATTCTTGAACCATATATAAATGCCCTGTAATATTTAACATAAATGCAGATCACCCCAAGCCCAATTACGGGAGTTCACATTGGATAATGATCGATAATTAGCATGCGTTATTGTTTTTGAATTTCACCCCAAATGTAATCTATTGACAGTGTGTGAAATCCAATCAATTATTTACACCTTTTTAGATAGAATGGTCAGTGTTTTTACAACAATTACCTGTTTGACATTTTTATGACCTCGAGGCTTAAAATAGAACATGGGAAACTTTACCTGTGTAGATATCGAGGGTTATTTTTTTAATCAAATTCAATCATATAAACACGAAAGAAACTGTTTTAAAACTTTATTTGAATAACACAAAAGTAAATATGAAATAATGAAAATAATGATGCATTCAAGAAAAATATACTCACCAACTGCCGTTTCCGGTCAAAAATTTCGATAGATTTAACCAAGCATATCTAGATGGCGATAATTTTCTATGCAATAAACCGAAAGGCCACTTGTAGAGCTATGCATATAACCGACAATTTAACATTAGATGAATGGGAAATGGTTTTGTGCAGGAGAAAACTATGCAATTAACCGAATTATGGTATTAAGCGGTATGCAATTAAGTGGAGTCGACTGTAGTATGTATGAAACTCTTGCATAGCTCATAACAAAAGTTTGTTAATGAAAACTCCCTATTTTGTTCAGATTGTATAAAAAACTGGCCACAAGAAATAATCTTTAATTTTGATCTGCCAATTTTAACTAAACTTGGCAGGAATAATGTATGGAAGGTTAAATGATCATTTGCTATAAGGAATAAGGCTGCCTATATGGTTCAACATAGTACTCAATAGTAAACTACATCACTATAAATAATATTCTAACATCAGTAACTAACTTAAACAAGCTTTTGTAAAAAAAAATATTTTTGTGTTACTGCTGTGAAACATTTTCTTTTTGTTCATCTTGTCAGTTAGAAAATTGTGAATACCGTGTCTCCTATGGTTAACTTTGTATTTGTACTAAACTTGGCAGAATTGGCTTCTACCACACCTGAAACTATTTTTGTCCCCCGCATAACGCGTTGCAGGGTACATGGAAATACCCAGCGTCCGTGTGTCCGTACTATAGGTTAAAATCAGCAATATCTCGGACAAGTTTTATAATGGTGGACGAATGACTTTTTTTAAAAGAGTTATGACCCTTGGAAATATTAAATTTATGGAAAATGGCCTCGTTAGTGCTCTCACGGGTACAATTTTTTGTCGAGCCTGCGACTTTTGTCGCAGAAAGCTCGACATAGGGATAGTGATCCGGCGGCGTCGTTAGCTAACTTCTTAAAAGCTTTATATTTTAGAAGGTGGAAGACCTGGATGCTTCATACTTTGTATATAGATGCCTCATGTTACGAAGTTTCCGTCAGTCACAAGTCCAATGTCCTTGACCTCATTTTCATGGTTCAGCGACTACTTGAAAAAAAAGTTCAGATTTTTGGGAATGTTAAATTCTCTCTTATTATAAGTAATAGGATAACTATATTTGGTATGTGCGTACCTTGCAAGGTCCTCATGCCCGTCAGATAGTTTTCACTTGACCTCGACCTCATTTCATGGATCAGTGAACAAGGTTAAGTTTTCGTGGTCAAGTCCATATCTGAGATACTATAAGCAATAGGTCTACTATATTTGGTGTATGTAATGATAGTAAGGGGTACATGTCCAACTGGCAGGTGTCATCTGACCTTGACCTCATTTTCATGGTTCAGTGGTCATAGTTTAGTGGTTTAGTTTTTGTGTTTTGGTTTGTTTTTCTAATACTGTATGCAGTAGGTCAACTATATTTGGTGTATGAAAATATTTTACGATGTACATGTCAGTCTGGCATGTTTTATTTGACCTTGACCTCATTTTCAAGGTTCATTGCTAAATGTTAAGTTTTTGTGTTTTGGTCTGTTTTCCTAATACTATATGCAGTAGGTCAACTATATTTGGTGTATGGAAATATTTAATGATGTACATGTCAGTCTGGCAGGTTTTATTTTACCTTGACCTCATTTTCATGGTTCATTGCTTATGTTACATTTTTGTGTTTTGGTCTGTTTTTCTTACACTTTAAGCAATAGGTCAACTATATTTGGTGTATGGAATGATTGTAAGGTGTACATGTCTAACTGGCAGGTGTCATTTGACCTTGACCTCATTTTCATGGTTCAATGGTCAAAGTTAAGGTTATGAGTTTTGGTCTTTTTTTCTAATACAATATGCAAAAGGTCAACTATATTTGGTGTATGGAAGTATTTTATGATCTTTATGTCAGTCGCGCAGTTTTTATTTGACCTTGACCTCATTTTCACAGTTCATTGCTCAGTGTTAAGTTTTTGTGTTTTGGTCTGTTTTTCTTAAACTATAAGCAATAGGTCAACTATATTTGTTGTATGGAAGAATTGTTAGCTGTACATGCCTGCCTAGCATTGTTCATCTGACCTTGACCTCATTTCCATGGTTCATTGTTCAATGTTTAGTTTTCTTGGTTAATGTTAAGTTTATGTGACAGTTGTAAGAAAGCTTTATATTTAGGACTATCAACATAATATCAATGATTAGTAAAGAAGGCGAGACATTTCAGCGTGTGCACTCTTGTTTATAAAACTTATAGTATACTGTAAGTAATGCCCTTGATGGTCTGTTTGAAATATTTAGTATACAACAAAAAAAACTTTTTTGTCTCCTGCACATGCTTTTTATTTATAAATTGTTTTAAAGAACAACAAAAAAAAGTGGTTTTTTTTTAGTTATTGCCCCTGGATAGATAAGATATGTGCAACGCAGGGACATTGGAACTCTGTTCTTTTATTTTATGTTAATTAGTTCACTTGATTGGAGTTTTGGTCATAAATGAAATATAGAATTTTGTGAACTACCAATCTGCTTTCAATACCTTTCTATTGGATTTTTTCTGTCTCATAAAATTGTTGCTACCATGCCATGAAAAGTGTTTTTAATTTTCTTGAAAAATGGACTGATTTAAAGATTGATTGATTGATAAATGTTTATCCTGATGCAACTTGGTAATTTTTTACTCCATTTATTTTGAATGAATAAAAAAGATACCTGAATGATTAGTTGATGGGAATTCATATTGTTATTTTAGAAAAAAAAATAACCCTTTTTATTATTAATTTTTAAATGGTTTTTATACGCCCGTTTACGGGACGTATTATGGTATACCGTTGTCAGTCCGTCTGTCTGCCCCTCCGTTGTCAACATGTCGGACAATAACTCAAAAAATGCTTTAACCAATTTGTTGGCGCAGCTGTTTATTACCAATAAACAATGAAGCAGTTTGCTTCTTTATCATGGAAGTTCATAATATATACATAATTTCTTTTTATAATTAAGCTTGAACCTGGCCAGTACCTTCCACCACCCAATCAGCTACAACAAAGAATACTCATAAAGAATAAAAGGCTCAAACCAGAAGTAGAAAAAAGTAAGTACACCAAACTAATCAATTCTATTTTTAAGCATTTATAGATTTATTTTTTTGTTTTTGGCTGGAACTAATTAACTACAGCATGTATAATTACTAAAATAGATTTATCTGGCATTAAAGTCAGTTGTTTAACCCATTTATTGATAAATGGATCCACATTAAATTCTTTTTAAAATGTTCTATTGATTATGGAAAGTGAACAATGTACCAGTACAATTATTTCTAGTGATTGTGAAACACACAATTTACCAGCTTTATCATACAACATAATTCAGACATTCATTTTTGCTGGGTTAAAATTCCTGAATTTGTCTGAGAAACTGATATCATTGGATTAAGTTTCCCCTGTTCCATTTTGGGAAAATCATGTTCTATTTTGATTAATTTCTTTGTTTGAGATTAAATTTTGTTGCTATTTTGTATCCAAGGAATAAAGACTTGAACAAAAATTTCTGCTTTTACAATATATGTTCTTTTCGCTATTTTAATTATGACTCTTTGACAAATACTGGCATTTCTGGATTTCAACCATATTTAGGCCTAGGAAATATAAAGCCAAGATTACGTCAAACTAACTTTTCAAGTCAGATAGGTTATATGTTACACTAAAAAATCTATTTTGTCATCACAAGCACTATATGTTTAAAGTTCTAAATCCAACAAAAGTGGCCTGTTTTCATTGAATTTGGTTGAAAATTGAAAATTATGTTAATTTTGGTGTTACAAAAAAGCATCTACTAAAGTAATTTGTTGTTATGTTGTTGCCCATGTCTGGCTGAAAATGAGGATTTTGTCAAAATATTTTTAAATAGATAATTTATATTACAGTAAAATGTGCTAGAAATGTTTGCCAAAAGCAAATATATAAAAAGAAATTCCATAGTATTATTATTGATATACCTTTTATTTTATAGCAAAATTGTTTCTACACTGCTCTTTTTCTTCAGTACTTTTATTACACTTCAACTTTTTTTTTATTATTTAGGAAGCTTGGAGTTGTTTATGAAAGGTCAACAGGAACAGAATGATGACCTTGAGATAGTGTTTGATGTCAGTGGTGTAGTGGGCAATGTAGATGGTGAAGAAGGACCACTCAATGGTTTGTATTTTTACATAATATTTTTTTCATTATATATTTTGTCATACTTTCTTACACATATTATTATTATATATTTGTTAGATTTTTTATCACATATAAATGTTTTATCTATTAGTAACAAAATTAGAAAATTTCAATTTTATCTTCAGTTTGATTAACAATTCTGATATTATGCTGTTTACAACTCTTTTGTATTGAGCAGGCAATTCATGTTCAGGAGGAGTACTATTTAAAAAAAAACTTGTTTGTTACTGATTTAAAGACACCTATGCCAGTTGCCCTAAATTAGTAGCTGGTGATGCCTTACATCAAATATCTGTATATTATGCTTGTAATAAGATCTTGTAAGGAAGTGTAGTGGCAAAAAACTCACTTGCTACTTGCAAAATAACAAAATAAATGATCTTTATATTACGTCATGTCTAAATGTAGAATTTTTGTTTTTCAATTTAATTCTTTAGGACTAATAAATATGAACATTTTTGGATAAAGTGGTCTTTTTTATTATTACATTTGTAGTCTGATGATAAGTATGTGTCTGTTAATGCTTGTTTCATTCTCTTCAAATGTTTTATGAATGCCATCATGATTTGGTTGACCATTATGGAAATCATGGTCACAAATGACCAAGGATAGGTTCCATTTGTCATCCCAACAATCCTGTCTTCATTTCCTCTTTCATTTTATTTTGGAAAGTGACTTGTTATCTCAATTTATTTGTCATGATAAATGTCACTAGAGCAGTAGATACTATATACCTTTACAGAGTACTGTTCATTGCGAGTTGTTGGTGGAGTTTGTGTTGATCAATAGTTTTATATTAAAAGTTTTGTGGACTACTATTTGTCCATTCGTATTTTTCTTTTTGTCATGATGTTGTCTGTCTTTCATTAACTTGGTTTTTGATATCTCTCTTGATGTCTTCATACTTAAGTTTCTTTGTGATGGGATTTTTGTCTATATGATTTTTATTGTCTTGAAAATAATATATTAGGATCTGAACAAGTTGTAATCTCTTTTTATATTTCTGAATATTGAGATGCAATAAGAGCAGGGCTTCCAAAACGGTTGTATTGTCCGGACTTGCCCAGTAAATTATATAAATGACTTGTTGTGCCGAGGCTGAAAAATTTTTAACATAGTTCAGAAAAAAAAATAGAAGTTTTTGTAGTCTTTTTGACCTGACTTTTTGCCTTAAACAGCCACAGATTTCCGGTCGTATAAGTGACATGATGAATAATTACTATCAAAACAAACTCTACTTTAATACCCTCTCATTACAATCAAGGTAAATTAGTTCTCTGACAGGTGAAATTTACCTGTTCAGTCCACAGGTACAGTGGCGGATCCAGAAATTTTCATAAGGGGGGGGGGGGGGGGGGGGGGGGGAGGGGGGCCCACTGACTGCCATAAGAGTGGGCCCACTTAGTCATGCTTAGTCACCCCTTAGTCACGTATTTGTCTCTGGTCCGTGTTTTATCATTGTCAAGTCAACATCTTGTATTTAGGAAAATGTCCTTTTAAAAAACAAACAAAAGTGAAATTATTGACAGCGTAACTTGGCACAAATAAGAAGTCTAAGGCAGATATTAGTACGCTGATGTTGCACACTTCGAAAGGTGCACTGTCAATTTAACAGTTAACGCCAGAACATCGAATTTATATAAAAAATCAAGTTAAATATGGGTTTTGTGTCAATCGTAATTTACATGATGCCCAACTGATTACTAGGTTGCCTTTTGTTACTAAGTCTTAAGGGATTAAAATCGGGATAAGACAAATAAAAAATGTCCGGCTGGCTCAAATATTTTTTTGAAAGCCCTGGATAAAGACCAAATTTTTTTTATTGGTTAATTTCTAAAATGTATAAGTGTACCCTGTACTAAACTGATAAAAAAGACTGACATCTTGTTGTACTATTTGTCTTATAAACAAAGTTGTTCTTATTGTATTGTTAACTGCACAATGTGTCGACCTTGCACAATTTTGGTGCTCGTCCTTTGTCGTCATTTGTATCTGTATAAATATTTGCCAACTTTATTTACAAATAGTCTCTCTTTAAAAAGACCCCTAAAAACACACTTTTAAAGGATAAATGACAAATATTGAAATATATATTACTGAAGTTTATTTTTAAATGTAGATTTAAGGGCTTACAAGAGGGACTATTACTATATATCTATAGAGTTGTTTGTGTAAATCTTTATTTTTGCTATGTTGGTGGGGTGTACCCATTAAATAATGTTATTATGAATAATAATTTCCAAGAAAAGCTACTGTAATTTCAGAAATAAATGTGTGCATTTATTATTGCAAATCCTTGACCACTGGCAAAAATATTAAATCTAGTTAATGTGATTTGAAAAATTTAATGAAGGAAACTCACTATTGAAATTATGATTGCAAGTTTTTATAATTGTGAACCTGATGCTGTCCCATTTTTTGAATTAAAAGAAACATTACAATAATTTCTGAATTTACAGTATCCACCTGTTTTAGAAAAAAGAAAAAATTTCACAAATATATACTGATATATAGTACATAATATATTGAGTTTACAGGAACAATATGGAGAAAATCTTGTCTTTTTTATGTAGATGATGACAGCAGTTCCAGTAGTGATATGTCTGGAGAAGAAATTATACAAAACAAACCCAAGCAAACCAATGGTCCAATGCAGGCATCATGTACAAAACATTCCCACCCTATTAAATGTGTCTTCAAATCATTAACAATTTCTCACAATTATTGAAAGCAAAGAAGAAAAAAAACTATAATCAGAAATTTTTAGATCTAATTGATTGAATAATAATATATGGTCATTATAATTTATGAACTAAAATTATGGTTAATCATTTGAAATGTTACAATTTTGAATAAGTTTTATACTGAACAATTTGTAATGGTTTGATAATTGTGTTGTATGAGTTGTCATGGTTTGTTGTGACATATTTGATAGTTGATTATATACATATATATCTGTATAATCTAATCATTTACTTTGTCTGCCTCCAAACAATTTTAATTTTGTTCATCCCTAGACTTGCATGATCACTTTCAGTTACATCCGTTTTCCTCTTCATTTTTTTTTTTTTACAAAAGATCTATAAATAAGTGTTCTGCTTTTGATATTGTTTGATTTTCATCTCTCCATGACATAGGAAGACATACACACACACACACACACAAGGAATAGATTTGTTATGTATTGTAGCGATATTTTCATTACATTTGTGTTTAATGAGTATTGTTGGTACATTCCTCTGTTTGTCTATTACACCAATATGATATCCTGATGATGTTTGAAATACAATGTACCATAGAAGGCGATAAGATTAGCACCATACAAAGAATAAGATTAGCACCATACAAGGCGATCACCATACAAGGTGATAAGATTAGCACCATACAAGGCGATAAAATTAGTAAAAACTCATATTGTAAAAACCCATCAAAGATATATGTAAAATATGACACATTTTCTAGGGACCCTTCTGTTTTCAAACAACTTTGTGAATTCTACATGAATTTTACAGTTTTTTTTTCAGCTTTTATTTATTTTTTTAAGAGCTATCAATCTAAAAAGTTAGTAAGAGATAATTGGATATAGGGATTATTGTTATGAAAAATTGCCTCACTATATAATATTTTTTCCTCAAGTAAATAACACCACATATCCATTATTTTAACACTCCAGGATGCTATCATATTCTTTCTTTAAATAAAAAAATATTTGTCAGACCAAGTCACACAACATTTAGGATTAGAAAAAAAAAGAAGAATTATTTGTTCTCAGACAGCTTTTTGTCTCGCCTTGACAGAGTCAAAAAGCGATACATATGTATGCAGTTTCCGGCGTCAGCGACGACAGCGGCGTCAACAATGTATTAGTTTGTGATTAGGTCTAGTTTAAGGTGAACCACTAGTGGTTGGTCAATGATATTTGGTATGCAGTTGTATCATAACTGGCACATCTCATTTCCATGGAGATTATTTAGCCCTGCCCCCTCAGTCATGGTCTATTGACTTTGAAACTTTTGCTTAGTTTACATGTATTAGTTTGTGATTAGGTCAGTTTATGGGGAACCACTAGTGGTAAGTCAATGATATTTGGCATGCAGTTGTATAAGCATTGGCATATCTCATTACCATGGAGATAATTGGCTACGCCTCCTTAGTCATGGTCTATTGACTTTAAAACTTTTGCTTAGTTTACATGTATTAGTTTGTGATTAGGTCAGTTCAAGGGGAACCACTAGTGGTAAGTCAATGATATTTGGTATGCAGTTGTATGAGCATTGGTATATCTAATGTCCATGGAGAATATTTGGTCCCGCACCTACAGTCATGGTCTATTGACTTTGAAACTTTTGCTTAGTTTACATGTATTAGTTTGTGATTAGGTCAGTTCAAGGGGAACCATTAGTGGTAGGCCAATGTTAATTGGTATGCAATTGTATAAGCATTAGCACATCTCATTTCCATGAAGAATATTTGGTCTGGCCCCCTCAGTCATGGTCTATTGACTTTGAAACTTTTGCTTAGTTTACATGTATTAGTTTGTGATTAGGTCAGTTCAAGGGGAACCATTAGTGGTAGGCCAATGTTAATTGGTATGCAATTGTATAAGCATTAGCACATCTCATTTCCATGAAGAATATTTGGTCTGGCCCCCTCAGTCATGGTCTATTGACTTTGAAACTTTTGCTTAGTTTACATGTATTAGTTTGTGATTAGATCAGTTTAAGATTAAGTGCTAATGTTAAGTCAATGATATTTAGGGTGCAAATTAATTGGCATTTGCAAATCTCGTTTCCATGGAGATTATATAGCCCCACCACCTCATCATGGTTCATTGACTTTGAAACTTTTACATAGTTTACAAGTCAATGTTTGTGTTTAGGTTTGTTGAAAGGGAACGACTTATGATAAGTCTATGGTATTTGGTATGAAGATGTAAAAGCATTGGCACATCTCTTTTCCATGGAGATTGTTTTGCCATGTACCTTCAGTCATGGTTCATTGATTGTTTAGCCATGTACCTTCAGTCATGGTTCATCGACTTGGAATATTTGCATAACTTATGTGTTAAAGTATTTTTATTTTAATTTCAACATTTGCATTATCAAAGTTACAAAAAGGCGAGACATATCTCTGTGATAACAGTTTATTTATAAAACATAGCTAGGTTGATAAAATCAAACACATAAAGACAGAGTTGCACACATAAGACAATCAATAAATAGTTCACTGTGTTGAAGACCTTCTATTAAAACATAGAGCTAATAGTTGTATATAATGATATTTTATGACTATAATCCTATATTATATTCAATATCTTTAACAAGAATTGAGTTATTGATATACCTTGATTTCATGATTGAACTTAATCAATACTTCAATATAACATTATTTTTAAACAGAGCAATATTTCTGATTTAATTTTGGCCACTTTGATCTACATTCCACACTTTGTTGACCCTGAAACACCACTTTACAGGTATTTTAAAAAAACCTGTAGGCACTTAGAGATATATTTTCTATAAACCATAGATTTGGTTAAGTTATGTGCTTGGGTTGATTTCTCTGTTATTGTAAATGACATATAAACACTTCAGTGTAATTCATGTCATATAAACATTGTAATTCATGTCATATAAACACTACATTGTAATTCAATGGTCATCATGACATTAAGTGACTTTATTTAAAAGTTACATTATATAGGTCCATATTTTAGATGTTCATGGTTCATTAGTCTCTTTTATAGTGGAACATTATTTTTTAACAGTTTTTCCATCACCGTAAATAAGAATTTTATGCTTTTGGGATTCTGGTAATTATTCACATTTATGTCTGTATAATAGACATTCGTAGTGGTATTTCACATATGTTGCTTATTTCATCATTATTTTTTAAAAAACAAAACAAATAATGAACACATGACTATAATGACCCAATGTTTGTGTGTCTCTTAAATTTTGCATTTAAGTCAAAGTGGTATCTATTTCATAGTTTGTTTAAGGTTAGGTAGATATCATTAAATATATACATATCTATTGGAAAAAATGTCTAGGAAACTTTAAAAAAACAAGGAAATTTAATATTAACAGTATACAATCCATAAAGAGGTATACTAATCAACATTAAATAATTTCCTTATAAACATTCCAACAACAATAGTAAAGACAGACAGGGGATGTGGTTTTTTTTTTATGCATACACTGAAAAAAAAAAACTATTATTAATCATGAACAAAAAAACTTCTAGAATGTTATATCTTTACCATTAAAATTAAAATATTAGTCCCATTCCATTTAATTTGTTAAAGAAATATGTTTCCTTCCAATATTTGTGTTTTTCAAAGCAAAAGTGGATTTGCCTTTCTACATAAAGGGAAGTTTGTCATTACAAAAATTGTTTCAGTTTGCTTTGAATTGATTGTGACAAATTTTTCGTCATCTCATATAAAGTTTTCTGCATATCAAAAAATTTCTTTTTCCAGTTCTTAAACCTGGTGAAACATGGAGGACCTGTTTTTATGTCAAAAAAAATCTCTTGAAGATTTTATATTAAGTTAAAATTACAACACAAAAATAAGGCAATGAGACGTGATTGCCTCTTAAAAAATTATCCTTCAAAGACTATTGGACAAGAATGTAAACAAGTTCAGGTTACTGTACAGCTTTCAACAATGAGTAAACCCCATACTGTTGAGTAAAATATGAGCATTGAATAAAATGGAATTGTCAGTAAATATAAATTGATGTATTGCATTCAAACACAAGAAATTTTTTGGGAAAACATTGCTAGACAAAAATGTATGGTTTTGTGTGATTAGTTATAGTGTGATGAATTTGTAGTATTTACAAAGGCTAAGAACAGATCTTTCTGTCTCTCTGTTTATTGATGTGAACTTTTGTTTTATTGACAAGGAAAATGAGCTGGGAATGATTGTTGTCTTCTCAGTTTGAATACTCCAAGTCAAAAGATTTATAGTAATGTTAAAAGTCAAAATAATATGAGTATTTATCACCTTTGATCCTTTATGAAATAATGAATATTTATGATCTCTTTATTATTATTTTGAGATTGTATTTTTTTTTTTTTTTTTTTTTTAGCTGTCTTAATTTTTGTAGATTTTGCATTCTATTTCTCTCTCTTTATAAATGGAAAAATTATTGAATTTTTACGTTTCCATTCTCTAACTTTAATTTGCCACAATCAATTGTTATGAAACTTATACATAATGCTTATTACCATAAAGCACAGATCAAGTTTGAATTTGGGTGGCATCACTTTTACAGTTCTCTAGTTATGTCCCTTTATAACGTTATATGCAAATGGTGGCAATATCTGTTTCCCAAGGACACATTCTCCTTTTTTTTTTTATGTTCCAGACCTCTGTACTACTTTGGCCAGACAAAGAAAAGGAATCTCACTCATACAAAATTGCTATATTTCTATCGTTCCAATTTGAGTTCATGTTCCCTTAACCTAAGTCAGTTTATTGTAATGTTCTTCAGGTCTGAAAAATCCAGAAACAACTTAAACCTGCGAGAATGAAACTTCCAAATGTGTAAATAATTTAGATATGAATCAGAGCTCAGCACTTTTGAAGTTCAATTGTTTACTGATGATATCGTCAAAATTATAATTTTAGTCCCCTACCGACAAAGTTGAAGGGGACTTTATGTTTGCACTCCGTCCGTCTGTGTGTCTTGTCTGTCTGTCCATCCGTCAGTCCAGCAAATCAGTTTTCCACACTTTTTTTCTTCGTGTTTAAAAATATTGAGTTGATAATTGGTATATAGTTTTATCATGACAAGTTACAGATCCAGTTCGAATTTTGTTCCGGTTTGAAGATATTGTGCAGAGTTATGGTCCTTGGACTTAGAAAATTCACTTAAATAATCAGTTTTCAACACTTTTTTTCGTCATGTTTGAAGATATTGACTTGATATTTGTTATATAGTTTACACCATGACAAGTTATAGATCAAGTTAGCATTTTGTTCCAATACAATTAATTTTTAACTGGTAGGGGACTGCAATACTCTCAGAATGCTTGTTTTAATTACGATTGCCATTTTTGGGACAGTATTCGATGCACCAATACCACTCTGTGATCACCTATGTAAACTTTATTGTTATCAGTCAGCCAGGACAGTTAGGTATAGATCATTTGCATAAAATTTGCATATCTTTATAAATAAAGCAAAATTGTACATTTTCTCAAAATAATTCAGCATGATAAGAGTTTAGTTTCCTTAAAAAGAAGGCCAAATTTTTTTAAGGAATAAGCTGTTACCTTACTCTTATTCTCAAATCTTTGTAGATTCTGGGCTATTTAGAGTTTAACATAACAACTCTTCTAAATTCTGGGCATTTTAGAGCTTAACATAACAACTCTTCTAAATTCTGGATTATTTAGAGCTAAACATAACAACTCTTCTAGATTCTGGATTATTAAGAGCTAAACATAACACCTCTTCTAAATTCTTGTCATTTTAGAACTTAACATAACAACTCTTCTAGAATGGGCATTTTAGAACTTAACATAACAACTCTTCTAAATTCTGGATTATTTAAAGCTAAACATAACAATTCTTCTAAATTCTGGGCATTTTAGAACTTAACATAACAACTCTGCTAGATTCTTGATTATTTAGAACTTAACGTAACAACTGTTCTAGATTCTGGATTATTTAGAACTTAAAGTAACAACTCTTTTAGATTCTGAATTATTTAGAGCTAAACATAACAACTCTTCTAAATTTGGGAATTTTAGATTTAACATAACAACTCTTCTAGATTCTGGGCATTTTAGAACTTAACATAACAACTCTTCTAAATTCGGCATTTTAGAACTTATCATAACAACTCTTCTAAATTCTGAGCATTTTAGAACTTAACATAACAACTCTTCTAGATTCTGGATTATTTAGAGCTAAACATAACAACTCTTCTAAATTCTGGGCATTTTAGAACTCAACATAACAACTCTTCTAAATTCTGGGCATTTTAGAACTTAACATAACAACTCTTCTAAATTCTGGGCATTTTAGAACTTAACATAACAACTCTTCTAGATTCTGGATTATTTAGAGTTAAACATAACAACTCTTCTAAATTCTGGGCATTTTAGAACTTAACATAACAACTCTTTTAAATTCTGGGCATTTTAGAACTTAACATAACAACTCTTCTAGATTCTGGATTATTTAGAGCTAAACATAACAACTCTTCTAAATTCTGGGCATTTTAGAACTTAACATAACAACTCTTCTAGATTCTGGATTATTTAGAGCTAAACATAACAACTCTTCTAAATTCTGGGCATTTTAGAACTTAACATAACAACTCTTCTAGAATCTGGATTATTAAGAGCTAAACATAACAACTTTTCAAAATTCTGGGCATTTAAGAACTTAACATAACAACTCTTCTAAATTCTGGTCATTTTAGAGCTAAACATAACAACTCTTCTGAATTCTGGGCATTTTAGAACTAAACATAACAACTCTTCTAAATTCTGGGCATTTTAGAACTTAACATAACAACTCTTCTAGATTCTGGATTATTTAGAGCTAAACATAACAACTCTTCTAAATTATGGGCATTTTAGAGCTAAACATAACAACTCTTATAAATTCTGGTCATTTTAGAGCTAAAAATAACAACACTTCTAAATTCTGGGCATTTTAGAGCTTAACATAACAACTATTCTAAATTCTGGGCATTTTAGAGCTAAACATAACAACTCTTCTAAATTCTGGGCATTTTAGAACTTAACATAACAACTCTTCTAGATTCTGGATTATTTAGAGCTAAACATAACAACTCTTCTTAATTCTGGGCATATTAGAGCTAAACATAACAACTCTTATAAATTCTGGGCATTTTAGAGCTAAACATAACAACTCTTCTAAATTCTGGGCATTTTAGAGCTTAACATAACAACTCTTCTAAATTCTGGGCATTTTAGAGCTAAACATAACAACTCTTCTAAATTCTGGGCATTTTAGAACTTAACATAACAACTCTTCTAAATTCTGGGCATTTTAGAACTTAACATAACAACTCTTCTAGATTCTTGATTATTATTTGGAGGTAAACATATGGTATGACAATGAGTCTATTGGTGAAGACAGTATGTTGACTACAATATGGCTTTTGGGGGATGAATGTGGTTGGGTTGCTCTCTCTCATTGATATTTATGACAAATCTCCTTTATTCCTATTCAAATATGTTACTTTGATATTTACTATCAGCAAATGGACAGTTTCCGGTCAATAACTTAATTTTTATCTGATCAAAACCCCTGATATTTGGGAATACTATTCACAATCATCAAATATGGTTGTATTCATTTATCAACACAACAGCTTTTATTGTTCAGAAACTTGCATGTTGACAACATGAAATTTCTTTTTCAAAACTGAAGACAACATTTACAATTGATTAAATTTTCAATACCGGTACATTGATTTATTTTCAATTTTAAATTGTTGTTTTTTTTTTTTGTATTTCCATTACTGTTAGGACCACAAAGACTTAATTTGTTATGAAACTTTTGACTTGGAGCTATTGTGTATGCTTTTGTTGTAGTGTTTGGTAGACAATGTTCAGAAATTGTAAGCTGAAATGTGAACATGCAAGTCTAAAGGGTTGAAATCCCTCGTGTTGATGCCTTTAATATGTTTATTTTTCCTTGTTTCAGTATAAACTTTGTAGAGCACCAATATTAAGGTGTCTTTACATTCTGTGTTGAGTTTTCTGAATTTTAGTACATGTACTTTCAAAATGATGATTTGCTGTATTTTAAGGTAGAGTGTTTTGAAAAATTATTTGTTTTGTTTTTAGTGCACAGAATTAAAGTCAATTCCTATATAACATCAAGTTTTTGAAGAGATAAGACTTAAAATAATACCATTTGAATATTTTTGTTGCTATCCCTTTAGGAAAATAAAATCTTTAGGAATATAGACTACATCTTGATAGTATATTTCCCATTTTTTTATTATTACTAGTAGCCTACCAAATTTTGGACAAAATATAACCTGATATGACAAATAAGCCAGAAAAGTCATTATCCAGTCAAAATAGTTATAACAAGAATTTTTAATAGTAACAACCATTCAATCAACGAATCAAACAGCAACATCTTTTAGTAACAAACTACTAAACAATGAAGTCCTATTTCTAAACATGATGAGTTATTAATTATCGTTGGTAAATATGTATTTACAGATTTAGATCCTACAACACCTAACATAGATACTGATGCTCATCCTGAATTAAAGTTATGTCAGTCTATAGACAACAACAGTCAGGACGAAGATGAAAAGAAAACATCAGATTCATTTGAAAAAAAAGAAGAGGATGAGGTAAACAAAAATAGAGTTATCCAGGATAAATAGGAATTAATTTTCGATCTTTCATATTGTATTCATTTACACCTCTTTGGAAAAGAATAAGGGGGCAGGATGAATTCTTGCTATAAAAATGGCTGGGCATGTCAATTGACTTACTTCTGTCTATAGATATGTAGTTAAACATGTGTAATTCCTTTTGTTTGTTTGCTTTGTTTATATAGAAAACTAAATAAAAATCATATGAATAAAAGGGGATGTGAAATAATTGCCAAACTGACTGTAGAAAAACAACAATACAAGTTCATCAGACATCTTATATTCAAGTGAAATATGTATTTTTTATATTTCACCATTCAATGGTGTTATGGATGCTTTTCATGAAATGGATGATAATTCATTCTATACTTAGAAATAAGAAGATGTGGTATGAGTGCCAATGAGACAACTCTCCATCCAAGTCACAATGTGTAAAAGTACACAATTATAGGTCAAAGTACGGCCTTCAATACGGAGCCTATGCTCACACCAAACAGCAAGCTATCAAGGGCCCCAAAATGACTAGTGTAAAACAATTCAAACAGGAAAACCAATGGTCTAACCTATATAAAAAACGAGAAACACTTATGCACCACATCAACAAACAACAACCACTGAACAACATGCTCCTGACTTAAGACAGGTGCATACAAATGCAGTGGGTTTAAGCGTTTTAACAGGCGCTAAAATCCTGACTATTATCCCTCTTTGTTTACCAGACATTCTTTTTTACTATTAGCTCCTTAATACACAAATTATATGAAAAAATGTTTTTAAATGATGTGTTCTAAACAAAATATCAATTATAAACCAAATAAGGAATAATTGAAAAAATACAATCCTATAGCAACCCTATAACACAGGTAAACCAAGAGGACATTATGTGGTTTTCAGCAATGGAAAAGGATTGTATGTTTGTCAGGCTTTAAATCACCAGGGTTTATACAAGTTCTGAAAAACATCCAACACAGATCTGACTTCAACACAAAATTATAAACATACTAAAAGATATGAAGAGACAAAGCCACAACAACTGGGAGGGGGGATTTCTTGCTTGTGGTAGACATATCAGCATGAGGTTGGATTGACTTTTGTTAGTAGCTGACACTCCCTCTATAATACTGAGCAGTGATTCAATTAAAAGCACTCATCTCAGTCTTCACAGTCCCTTTGATTGTTACTATATCCTCTTAATATGACAGCTTCATATTCTTTTTATATGACCGCAAAAAAATTTTTGTGGTCGTATATTGGTATGACGTTGGTGTCGTTGTCATCGTCGTCGTCGTCCGAAAACACATTGGTTTTCACACTGTAACTTTAGTTTAAGTGAATGTATCTCTATGAAATTTTACCACAAGGTTCAATACCACAAAAGAAAGGTTGGTATTGATTTTGGGGGTTATGGTACCAACAGTTAAGGAATTAGGGGCCAAAAATAAGCATTTTTGTAACTTCCAGACATAACTTGTGTGTTAGTGTATGGATCTCTCTGACATTGTACAACAAGGTTCCATATCACAAAAGGAATGCTGGGATTGATTTTGGGGGTAATTGCCTCAAAATTTTAGGAATTAGGGGCCAAAAAAGGGGCAAAAAGCAAGCATTTTTCTAGGTTCATGACAATAACTTGTGTGTAAGTGTATGGATCTTTCTGAAATTGTACTACAGGGTTCCATATCACAAAGGGAAAGCTGGAATTGAGTTTGGGGGCAATTGCCCAAAACGTTTAGGAATAAGGGGCCAAAAGGGGGCCAAAAATAAGCATTTTTATAGTTTCCAGACAATAACTTGTGTTCAAGTGTATGGATCTCTCTGAAATTGTACTGCAAAGTACCATACCACTAAAGAAAAGGCTGGGATTGATTTTGGGGGTAATTGCCTCAAAATTTTAGGAATAAGGGGCCAAAAAGGGGCAAAAAAAACAAGCATTTTTCTAGTTTCAGGACAATAACTTGTGTGTAAGTGTATGGATCTTTCTGGAATTGTACTACAGGGTTCCATATCACAAAGGGAAAGCTGGAATTGAGTTTGGGGGTAATTGCCCTAAACATTTAGGAATAAGGGGCGAAAAGGGGGCCAAAAATAAGCATTTTTCTGGTTTCCAGACAATTACTTGTGTTCAAGTGTATGGATCTCTCTGAAATTGTACTGCAAGGTACTATACCACAAAGGGAAGGCTGGGATTGATTTTGGGGGTAATTGCCTTAAAATTTTAGGAATTAGGGGCCATAAAGGGGCAAAAAAACAAGCATTTTTCTAGTTTCATGACAATAACTTGTGTGTAAGTGTATGGATCTTTATGAAATTGTACTGCAAGGTTCCATATCACAAAGGGAAAGCTGGAATTGATTTTGGGGGTAATTGCCCAAATTATTTAGGAATAAGGGGCCAAAAATAAGCATTTTTACTAGTAACTTGTGTTCAAGTGTATGAATCTCTCTGAAATTGTACTGCAAGGTACCATACCACAAAGGGAAGGCTGGGATTGATTTTGGGGGTAATTCCCTCAAAATTTTAGGAATTAGGGGCCATAAAGGGGCAAAAAAACAAGAATTTTTCTAGTTTCAGGACAATAACTTGTGTGTAAGTGTATGGATCTTTATGAAATTGTACTGCAATGTTCCATATCACAAAGGGAAAGCTGGGTTTGAGTTTTGTGGTAATTGCCCTAAACGTTTAGGATTTGGGGCCAAAAAGGGGCCAAAAAACAAGCATTTTTCTAGTTTCCAGACAATAACTTGTGTTCAAGTGTATGGATCTCTCTGAAATTGTACTGCAAGGTACCATACCACAAAGGGAAGGCTGGGATTGAGTTTGGGGTGATGAATCATAAGGGGGTTCAAAAAATGGGGGGAGGGGGATTTTTTTCCCCCTTTTTTTCTTTAAAATTTTCCATTTTAAATTGGTTATTTCTGATTTATATATAAAAGTAAATAATAAAGATATGGTTTGAATAGGTAAATAAAAAAATTTTAAGTTCTTAGACCACATTCATTCTATGTCAGAAACCTATGCTGTGTCAAATATTTAATTACAATCCAAATTCAGTGCTGAATCAAGCTTGAATGTTGTGTCCATACTTGCCCCAACTGTTCAGGGTTCGACCTCTGCAGTCGTATCAAGCTGCGCCCCAGCGGAGCATTTTATTTACAAAGGTCACCTTTATATAAACCTGTCAATTTTGTAATAATATTATAGGGAGGAAATTTGACAGCAGAAGAAGAAATAGCTTTGATGTCTAACTATAAATACATTGGAGCCACTACTAACATACACCCTTACTTGTCAGCAATGGTTAATTATGCACAACCTGTCAAGTTTCAAGGATTTGATGTAGCAGAAGGTTTGTTAAATCCAATCACTTTTCATACTTTAGGTATAATGATTCATTAGGATATATGCTTTTGATTGGAATTGCATACATAACATTACATCAAATTACACTGGATAAATCATCATTCATAATTCAGTATTGCTATACTAGTCAACATATATGAAATGTTCTATAAAAATATATGTTTTTGCTTTGGGGCTGTCCGAGAAATCAATGTTAGAAAGAGGTTCAAAGACTTAATTTAAACAAATTTGTGGACTAATGTAATTTAAAAAAAAAAAAATGAATATTTAGAAAATTTCATGTTATTGATTGTTGCGTTTAAAAAAAAAATTACATCTTTCTCCCCTATTTAATTTTTGGACAGCCCTAACACCACTTCCTTCAGGGTGGTAAATGTAGTTTTACTATGCTAGGTGTACATATATTATTCTAAGTGACTGCTGACTTAATGTTATCCAACTTAAGGAGACATGTGTTTGTTTTAAAGACTTTGATATACAATCACATAATTTTTAATCATCTCTTCTTAAACACTCTGGTCAAGTTATTTTAATTATGATTGAGGAAAATTCTTTCCTTCTACTTGTTCAAACTTGTTTGCGGAAATATAACTTTCATGGACAAACTTACACCCAGTTTGTTTGACCAGATTTGTTTGAAAGTGTATTTTTACCTTCATTTGTTGCCAAAAAATAATCGAGGATCCTTATTTTTTTTATCAATTTAGAGTTACTATTAGTAATGCTTATATCATTTTTTTTCACAGAAAGGAACGTACATTATCACATGTCATCATTTAATGAAAACACTGGATTGGGTTATCTTAAAACTCAGGTTATAGAACTGGTCAAGTATCCTTATGATATAACATAATGTTGAATTTGTCAGTGTTTAATTACTTGTGGGTTATTTTTATTTATAGTTTGTTTTCTTTAATGACAGTGTCAGGAAATTTCTGCAAAATTACAAATTTCCCCATTTTGAACCTCGTTTTCCTCGAAAACAAGCATCATACCATATATTCTTATTTTTGTATGTTAACTTTTTTTTTTTTTTTCTCAAAGGACTTATTTCAGTCTATAACATTTCTCAAAATCACAAAACTGACAATACAATGTGAAACTGTAAAACTCCCCTTAATTGTACATTTTTGTTAAGACAACAAGTCAGTATCCTATGAATGATCTAAACTGTTTTTTTTTTGCATTCCATTCTACTGGTACCTCTAATCATTATGTTATTTGTGACTTCAGTAAATAACGAAGCCTTTTGTCATATGCATGTAGTAAGAGAATTTGTTGTGCATTATTTTTATTTCCATCAATATTAGTAAACTTGGTTTTTGTTTTTATTTAACATTTTAATGTTGCATGTCTAGTTTATGTTTAGTTTGTATTTACAGGTTTTAGATAAGGTGAGATTTGCAGTCATTTGGACATATCTTACACTATGCTTAATAGAACTTCTATCTGATAGATTGACACAAATTCACACTTGGGAATAAAATATATATCTAATATTTGACCAAGTAATTAATGATTCTGTTTCAACCTATATACAACTGACCTGTATTATTTCAGTCAACATTGTACATTCTGTGTGAAATAAACAATACATGTTAATGATACAACAAAGACCAACAATACTTTGCTCTATCTTTCATTTTATTATTAAAAGTTGTATTTCGATTGATACATTTTTCATGCATTCAGGTGCACATTTAACCTATAAACTTTTGTAAATGATAAGGTCATACCTCAAATAAATAACCCATCTTTTAGGAAGAGTTTAGCTGGAGGACCTATCAAGGCTTTATATCACTTGTTATTACTATTATTATATTTGTTTTATGAGCAAATATTTGTAAATATAAAAAAAAGTAGGTGAAATTAGTTAATCTAAAGATTAATCATTTAACACAATAAGTCTGTTGAATTTAGAATACTTTTGTTATGTAAACAGATGGTATTTTACTATTCATATATAGTCGAAGGAAAGTTTAATAGGAACTAATCATTATAATTTATTAGGTGACAAATACATTTTGGTAAAGGGAGATAACTTTTCATTGAAGGAGATTCCAAACTTCCATTGTAGAAGACTTGAATGAGGTGGTGATTCAATGCAAAATTATAGGAGCTTCCCTTTAGTGGGGACTATTTCACCACAAATAATTTTCAAATATGTTTACAATGTTCAAAAACATGGTAAAGGATTTGAATCGATCACATTCCTACAGTCATAGATTAAATATCAAATATGAATACTAATGAGAGATAGAATACCATGATTTCATGTGTAAGCTAACTTTTAAGAATTTGGGTGACATTGTTTTTTGGTAAACAATGAAATTTGACAGCATTGACTCAAACATTACAGGTTAGTTGTACTTTGTGTGTTTGATCTGTTCACTTGGCTTTAACTAACATTTCTGATGAAACCTCCTGGTGTTTGAATCAACAGTTCTATCATTCTGATTAGAGGATTGTCTGAGTTTTTGATTGATTTAGACTTCTTTTAACCTGCGTCGCCAAAGGCTGAAGCAGGTCTAGTAACCGCTCGACTCTGTCTGTCTGTCCATCCAAAAAAATTTTGTCAAAGTTTGCTTGGCTTCTATGGAAGGGAATGATCTTGTTTTTGGTCTTCAGCTTTATGATGTTGAGTTGTAGCGAGTAAGCAATTTTTACATAATGTATCCACTTCCGGTTTGCGGATAGTTTGAAATTTTACAACCTAATTGTACAAGGAAACAAAAATTTTCTCAACTCCTACTGAAGGGAATGATTTTAAAATATTTGGTCTGAAGCTTGATAATGTTGAGTTGTAGCGATTAAGCAATTTTAACATCTACCATGTAGCCACTTCCTTTTTGCCAATAGTTTGGAATTTAATTATACTCATTGTACAAGGAAAATTTTTGTCAAACATCCGTGAAAGGGAATGATTCAGTATACATATAACCTAAATCAATTGCATGCAGCAACCTGGTATTGGTCTTGTTTTGGTCTAATGAAACCATGAAACAAATTGAATAAAAATTTGAATAAATCTTTCTTTTGTTATACCCCTATATAATTGTATCAGTTGACAATGTATCATTTTGAGATGACCATAGACATGATAGCCCTTAAGTAACCAATAGTTTACCGAGGCATCAACAGTAATAAGTCAGTCCAAACAGAGTAGACCTTACGCTATTTCATATTCCCCTATAACAATTAAGGGACATATTGTTTATCCATCCCACATAGGGTACAAGGTTTGTTCAGCTCATTTCTCCTACAGTTTTCAAGCTTCAACTTTTAACTTATGCAGGGTGTTAGTACATATGTAAAAGTCAAATCTATGTCAAGCCTTAAATCTGTGTCCTTTCCTCAAATCTTTGTTCCATGACGTCATGACACTTAAATCTTAAGCCTTTTGTCCAGTCTCAAATATGTGTCCTTTACTCAGATCAGTGTCCCGTGATGTCATGAAACTGAAATATGTGGGCTTTGGTGTATTCAAATCTGTATCGTCTGTATAAAGTAGACTTTCAGTAATGTGACATGACTTTGGACAGAGGCACATAAAGAATGCAGTGGGGTTAAAGCACTCAACCTTCCCGTAACCTGGGACCATTGTGTAACAACACAACATAAGAACAAACTGTAAAAAATCAATTGGATAGGGCTTGGCAAAGTTCTGCTAAGTTCAAAATTCAACTTGCATAAAGACAAAGTTCTACATGCATTAACTTTTCATTTGCCAAATATCCATTTCTTTTGAATATTAAAGTCTTATTGATGACTTTGACAACAAAATTCTTTCCTTTGTGATGTTTTGGTAATTCTGACGTCAGCACGTTATAAGACATCTTTGAAAGGGACACAGATTTGAGAAAGAAGGGACCTAGATTTGTGTGGTCTATGACCCAATAAAGAAGAGGACATAGATCTAAGGAAAGGACACAGATTTAAGGCTGGACTTGGATTTGAGGCTTTCACATATATTAAGGTTAAGCATATTTTTAGAATTTTGTTATTTGTCAAACTTTCTGCAAAGGTCAAGATTGTGAACATGTGTTAATTCTGTGTGAAATTATGAATGAGGGGAACATGGTTTTTTTCCAGCTAACTCCCCTTCCAGATTTCAAGTTGGAAACTTTGTATATATGATGCAAAGTGTTTGTATATGTATTTAAGATTTGCACTTTATCAGGATTTTAATTTTATGTGCAAATTTTCCATAAAGAATGTTGAACAATCATATGCCTCCTTCACAACAAGTCTAGTAGTTTGCCTTTATCACAAATGAAGTAAAATAATTTATGATAAAATTGAGAATGGAAACGGGGAATGTGTCAAAGAGCAGAAAACAGCCCAAGGCCACCAATGATGTCTTTTTGTGTGACATATAGAATTCTCAGTTAGTAAATTTACATTGGTCCCAGGGTCACCAAGAACAATTGTCAACTGGATATGGTACAAACCATGTAAATTTGTGTATTATTTACAATTTTGTTTTTTTTTATCCTGACTATGCAATACTTCATTAGAAGTCAGAAGTTTGAAATGAACAACAAAAATCTTTCAGACAAAACAATATCAAGTTTCACATCAACATCACTGTTTACCAAATCTAATGCTTTTTATACTATATTCAAGCCTACCCCATGGGCATCATCTTTGTCTACTTTACTTTATTAAAAGGATCATTTGCCTTTCTTCTGCATTAATCATATGGACCAGGTTCAGAATTGTGTGAGCCAAGATTCAAAATCATTATATGCTGTTCAAAGTCATTTAGCACTATAATTAAAGTCTGTCACAACTTTGCAAATCTTATTTAATAATACATCTGTCAACAATATTTAAACTGTCTTCCTAGACTGAATGTTCATTATTATTATTGTAAATTAAGAAATTATTGAGATGTTTTTATCAATGCCAAAAATAATAAAAACTATCATTCATAATTTCAGTAGTGATTTTCCTTCATAAAATTTGTGCAATGCATTAATAAGATTTGGCATTTTTCCCAGTGGTCAAGGATTTGCAATAATAAATGAACACATTAATTTCTGTATTTACAGTAGTTAATATTGGATCATTTATAGTATTCTGTTGATTTTTTTAATCCCAATTTTTGTGGCTTAACAAAAGTTCCTATTGTGTGGGTATTTGAAATGATTGTTTTGTCAATCTACTCATGATAAAACAATTGAAAATTGAATTTCAAAATTATGTTTTTTAAATCATTTAAGTTAGTTACTAGTGTCACTTCAAATACAGCCATATTCTGTATTACTAACATATAAAGATGTGTACCATCATTGATTTAACATAAAGGTAAAACAAATAAATAAGTGTTGAAACTTACTTTTTCTGGGAACCTATTCTTGATAAATGTTCAGTTCAAACAAGATGCTGAGTTGCAAGAACATTCTGTTTCCAAATTAAGGCCTGTAAAAGGGACAAGAAAAGTAGCCATTGTAAATATGGGTTATACACAAGATGCCTCATAATCTTAAGGGTTATTAAAGTTATTTCTGTTAAATAGACAACTTTTTCTCTATAATCTAATTAATTGTGACTTACTTTGTAATACCTGTAGGTATTTTTATTATGAAACAGAAGGAATTAGGGTAATTTACATCACATTCTACACCATTTGTATTCAGTTGTTAACACAGGAAATAAAAAAAAGTTTATTTCAGACTTTTTTTTTCTACGCAGTGTAAATTTTATTCAAGATTGTGTGATGTTTTGAAGGATTATGCATCACAAGCTAAAACCATGGCAATTTATATTGTATTTATATTTTTGTGTTTATAATGCATGTATTGTGTACTTAAATGTTGCATGTTTAT